CATTGATACATAAAATACTTTCACTCGTGAATAAAATAGGAGACTAAAATTTGAACAACGCATCTACATCTGACTTAAGTAGGCATTAGTCATCGATCTTATCGCCTCACGGGTTGAAACAAAAATAAACTTTTCTATATAACAATAATGAGGAAGTTTCCTATTTGCTGAAACAAAATTATTAAGCAATATTACATATTCTATCTTAAAAACATATGAATTTATAATTTGAGCGCAATCGACAGTCGCCATCCGCCATTTAGAATTTTCAAAATTCGATTTTTAGTTCGTTATTAGGAAGATTAAGAACAATTGAACCCAATTTTGGGCTCGATCAAAACAATTTTTGCAAACATTTTTAGAGATAATCGATATCAAGTATTCGTTATTAGTGACCCTGAAAATAAAATCTAAAACCTAAATTTGAGTTTAATCAAAACATTTTTTTTCAAAGATGCCATATTAAATCCGCCATTTTAGAAACTTCCTAATTTAAGACTAGGACACATTGGGAGACGGCAAGAAAGGGAGCAAAAGAATGTTCCTCTAGGTAGCGCAAAATTGACAAAAAATTCCTCTGAATACCCTGAGTATTCGTCAGCAATTTGGCATCTCACCTCTCGGCATGGCAGGAGGGGAAACTGAGTGGTTTTTTTTTTTTTTTTGGTGAGGGGGGAATGCGTTTACGCACCATACCATAGTCCGAGCTACGGCGTGTGTGGGACTCCAGGTTGTCTTGAGCAGACCGCCTAATACCCACTAAACCCTAACCTCCGCGTGGCCCGGCTCATCTCAGCGTCTCGGTAGGCCATGTGTTGTGCGTGACCTGCGGTCTGCTACAACGTCTCCTCATGTGTTTCAGTCTCTGGGAACGCCGGGTTGGTTCCCTTTATCTCGCACATTCTATCGATGTCGTTAAGCGATCATCGATAGAGGGTCTGCTAGGGTCTCTTGAAACTCTTGTTTTCGAAAAATCAAGAGTTTCAAGTCCTCTTACCTATATATTGTTCCTGGTTCTGGTCCTGAAGGGTCCTGGTCCTGGTCGTGGCGGGTCCTAGTCCTGGTTGGTCCTGGTCCCGGTGGGTCCTGGTCCCGGTGGTTCCTGGTCCTCTGCATCCACGCCGTGGGGGGGGGGAGCAACCGCGGGTTCTCCTAGTCTCCTAGTCAAGGTTCCAGTTAGCGGGTGCCAACTGGGACCTTGGTCTAGGGTACCTGGTTCTGCGGTTGCGAGGCATCTCGTCCGGATCGTAGTCCATGAGGAATCGTAGCTGCTCGAATAATTTGATTTGTCCCCTGTGAGCTATTTAATACCACACCCACTAACAGCGCTCCCATCGGCATACGATGCAGCTTGAAGTCTCGTTTAAGGGAGTGTCAATCAAGTCAGTCTCAAAGTAACTATGAGATCGCCTCGAGTTCTTCGGTCGGAGAATCTGGTCCAGTCTAATAACTCGAGGCGTATCATAGCTGGGTCTGTGAGATCTAAATGGGATTCGAGTCGCACGACGCTGTATTGCTTTAAGGAGATTTCTCACAAGCACAGTTTTCCATATCTTGATCCTTGATAGGTTCAACGGTAGAGGCCAACTGTCTGACCATTGACGAATAATGTCAACATCACGCTGAATCAGAGCAGAGTTTGTAACGGTGTTGTAAATTTTCGTGTCATCGGCATAAGCCGAATATGTGGAAAACAGCAACGCGAACAGGTCACTTGTCTACAAAGGAAAATCACGGGACTCAAGACTGACTGGGAAACTCGGCTTGCTACACGATGGAGGATAGGCTCGCTGTCACTGACGCGCACAGAAAAAGTTCTCGCGGTGAGGAAAATGTTTTCGATAAATATATTCCAGGTTACAGCCCAAAGACCATATTCCATACACAGTTATTTCTCACCAGCATTCAGCAGCGCAACCTTCTGGTTAATAAGGCCATCCTCTCCCTCCCTTCAGCGAAAGACCCCAGGTACTTTCAACCCCTGGTTCTGAAGTCGCAAGGCGCCAGTCCAGGTCTATGAGTCTTCCTGACTTCCGACTTGGAAGCCGATTCTGATCGGCCACGGGGCGTCAACAGACCTGACACATCTGAACATGGTCATGGCAGGCAACCGGTTTAAGAGCATGTATTGCGTTTGCTCGTTATAAGCAGTGATCACCCCGAAACAACTAGCCCAGAGCTCAGGAGCCCAAAACAGGTATATCCTGAAAGCGCGCTCGATCACGTCGTCTCTTACCGGCCCCGCCCCCTCATAGAGAACCGACCAACAGACTCCGAGACACACGACCGTCAAATTGAAGCGCTGCATAAAAACACACGTTGTGACGCGCGTACTACACAAAAAGTCAACGCGCGTTGAAGTGTACATCGCACGATAGTTGCCTGGTGTAAGTCGCTAGAATTGACCACTGCGATACAGTGATTTACAGCCAATCGGTTTTGAGTGTTTAGATCTCAGCCTACAAATGGAGGCCAGATACCACGTAACCTAGGTGACGACGATTCTAGCTGTGTAGAAGGTGTGGTCTATTTGCGATTGAACAGTACGTATGCTCTTCGAACGAAAGCATAGCACCACACGCGCGTTTTTATGCCGTGAAGGCTTACCTGTAGGTTCGCTCACAAGATACACTCACCCTTCGCTCTATTATTAACGCGCTGCCAGTGTCGTTAGGTCCTGCCCAGTTCTTTTGAAGGTGTCTTGGAGTAAAGGGTCGTCAGCGTAAGCGCGAGACCGGCGGGTCTCATAGCCACATGGAGCGCTCCGTTCTTAGGGCTTGCGTGCCACAGGGATCAAAACACCTTCTTTGTCGTCAAGCTCTTCGGATCTGTAGGGGGGGGGGGGCAGGGGGACAGACTATAGTACGTAGTGAAGGGGTGACGGTTCCGTTGGGCGCTGATGGCGATCGGAGTATCTTTTCTGTCGACGATTCTCGTCTTTGCTGTATTCATTTTTCTCGATGTTTGGTAGTTGACGATTATGTATGCACGATAGTTTGAGCTTATACGTAGCGCGGAATCCTCGATAACCATATCCACTGACCAGTAGCTCCACTGCAGAGGTTCCCTTGGCAGAGACAGTCAAAGCCACCCAGGATATGCAGCAGGGTATTTGCCTGGGTGCCACATAGCACTGCCACATGCGTCTAAAGCTGGCTGGGCCAGGATGGGTTGCTCTGATCGACAGCCCAGGAGTGTTAACCCTAGTTTCATTAGCTGGTGCCCCTCTAGGACGATTCCACGCGGGAAATAGCTGGGGGCTGATCCCGCGATACATCGTTGGGACGCCTTCCGTCACGTATTATGCCGACTACTCTGGCCCATGTTCAGCGCCAGCGGAGCCTCACACTACTGAAGAAGAGGACGCTTTGCTTGGCTTCGTCTCCATATTCCCTCTCCTTACCACACCTGAAGAATGTAAGTGTGTGTGTGTGATTTGTTGATAACGATAGTATTAAAAATGGTTAACTCGATGACATGTAAGAGCTATCCGCAACATCGGCACCCTCTCTTCAAATACTTATCGATTTTTTTTTTCACTATGTAGCGGTTTTACGTAATGACCCTACGTGTACGCCTCTGCTTCTTTCTTCAACTTGGAAGATCAAGTTTAATCCTTGATAAAAATGTTATGCGCCGGCAATGTTGCAGAAATACGGTGCGTAGCGGCCTTGCCAGTGTTGCCAGACCTCATATTTTAACTGGACTTTCCTAATATATTCACGGCGAGTTGTCTCGTCCCTTGTTGGAGCAGGGAGGGTCAACGCGATATTTTTTACTTAATACACTTCGCTGCGATTACCTTACGGAAACGGGTGTTTGTGATGAAGATGCTGCGTGTGTCCGATGCGTGGAAAGTTTTACGAGGTGTTAAAAAATTTGGAATTTCTCTTTGTGTTGTGGATTTTAGTTGTAACACATACACAAAATATTGAATTAACCGAAATATTGGAGTTAACAAAATCGAGCTGCTTACAAATCGTATTTGAAAAATCGAAAGTGGCACATTTCTGTCGCAATAAAAAACTCATAGCTAGCATCACAGGCCATTTCCAGGATGGTTAAGGTTTACCTCTATTCATCTGTTCACACCGAGGATGGTCGCTTAGTGCCGTATCGTCCGTCACTCCTACAATTATTGTAGGACGCCTTTATGGCCTTCTTGATTTTCATAGTCTTTTATCTCCTTCAGAAAGGCTGAGGTATTTCTAGGTGTTCACTGTTTCGTGTCAGAGTCAGCGCTCTCTTATTGTGAGGCTGTTTTCTTTTCGAATTGTCGGAAACTTTAGGCTGATATAACAGTTGATACAGATCAAAAGCATGAAGAATTTGATGCATATAGATAACATAACCTCAAAATAGAGCTGAGACACGAAACAGTAGAAAACTATGAAAATCAAGGTAACCATAAAGGCGTCCTACAATTGTAGGCCTCCTTGATTCTCATAGCCATTCTTTTTTAGATTTCTACTGTTCTGTGTCAGCTTTAGCGCTGTCCTAGTGTGAGGCTACGTTTTTTTATGAATCTCAAGAAATTTCAGGTTTATAAAGCAAATGATAAAAATCAAGTTTTATCAGCATGAAATTTCTGATGAAAGTATAATCTCAAAATAAAGTACTGACACGAAATAGTAGAAATCTAAAAAAACCCTGCTTTTCTGGAGGTCAAGAAAAACTATGAAAATCAAGGAGGCCATAAGGACGTCCTACAATATTGTAGGAACTAATGATGATACAGCACTTAGTAGCGGTAGGATGAGAAAAGACAATATCTTTGGATACAGGAAGATGTGAAAGATTAGTCATGCGGATTCAGATAAAAAGGACAACCTTCCTTGAATTGAAGCACATCACAGAACGCACAGAAAGTGGTGCCTAAGACCAGAAACGCAGTGTTGCAACATCAACAATTATGGGTTATTATTTATCTGGAAAACTGGAACTAGAAAAAATGTATGGTCAACTACCAGTTAACTTCTAGGTTAGGGTTAGTCAGTATGGAAATTCACTTAGGATTGAAAACTGGAATTTAGAGAAAACGTGCCATGGTAATCTGGCAACACCCCCTGTTGAAGAGATTCGACCGCCTACTGCGATTGAGCAGGCTCTGCGGGGATTGAACGTCATTGGAGTCCCTCGCGCGGAGTCGGCGTTAGTGTTTTGTTTTGATCGCTTGTCGACCGTTTTCGTGCGGCATCGTGTGGTCGGGGTCGCGCAGCCCGGGTGCAGTGCGCCATGCGTGATAAAATGGCCGAGCTAAAGTTTGAGGCCCCCTTGGCCCAATTCGAGGAAACGGACGAATGGGGTTCCACCGAGTTCCAATCCGCCAACCTGATCAAGAACGAGAACGAACTGAACAACATCAACCTTACCAAGAAGAAGAACAAGGACCTCAATGACGTCCTGAACGATTTCACGGAGGATATTCTGAATAATTCCAACCCCCAGACGATAGTCGCCCCAAAACCGAAAAATGGGCCTGCAAACACCACAACGTCTGTGACCGATAACTTCACGGAAACATTTTCCGGATCTCTGGAGGATCTGGTGAACACGTTCGACGAGAAGATCACGAAGTGTTTCGGGAATTATGAGGAATCGGTGGAGAAATTGGCGCCTGTTCAAGTGCGGTCGCAGGAAGAAATCATGAACGAATGCCAGTAAGTCGATTTTTTTGTTTCGCTTGAGGAAAAGTGCATTTGCGAAAATTTCGCATCGATTCGTAACTACCTGCCCTTACTCACCTTGTGAATGTCCCCAGTAAACACGAGGTACAGGGTTGGATTCAGGCGAAGGGGTGGAAGACGCATTTATATTTTAGTTTATTTTTGCGAATAATGTTCGGCACGGAATGTACATATTGAACGGTGCGATTTTATAGCTTGTAAACAATAGCTTATTAGCAAATTATATTTTGGGTGATATTTAATGTGTATACACTCGGAACCAAATTTCTCTGACGGCTCGAGTTCAATGCGTACGAGAGAGAAGTGTGTATAGACACATATGTTAGAAAAAGATAGAAGCCGGCTGAATAGTGAAGCTCATCACCGCGTTGCCTAGCAACGCTGACGCTAATATGTTACACCAATTCCTTGAATTGCATGTTGAAAATATGCATTAGTTTATTCTCTTCGCTCAAATAATTTTTTTTATTTTGTGTCAAATCTGTTTAGGATCGATTCCGAATGCCATCAAATAAATTTGGTTTTCCCTGTATATGTTTAAAGGCTGTTTCCTTAGAAGGTCTAGTTCTCCTCCCCTTTTTATGAATGCCTTTTTCCCATGAAACACTTTCATTATTTAAGATCTTGACCTTAGTTTGTGAGTTTTTTAAAATCGCATTCCAAGTATCCTAAGATCAGAAATATGACAAATAGATAATGATTATTGTTTCCCAGTTTTTTTTTATTATCAACTATGTTGGTATAATGAATCGAAAGGTTCGGCAATCACAAATACCGCATACTTAAACGTTAAAGTTGACACCAAAGTCATAGAAGTCAATGGATTATATAGGTTGTTACTTGTTATTGACAAAACTGTCTATTGTTTAATTTATTTGCTTTATTTATTTTACTTTCATTTCATTTTTATTTTTTATTTTTGACCTGTACCTATTATTTATTAATTCTTTATTATTTTATTATTTGAATCTTCATTTTATGCTATAAATACTTGTCCCGAATATTGATAAAACGAGTATGCATTTCATGTCTATTGGATCTACTAGTAGATATTATACTAAGTGACATATAAATCCGAACACCCAGTTTAAATGGTTTTATTTTAATAAAAGTTGGTGAATGTATTTACCTTACTGTAAATAACAAGTGAAAAAATTTTCAGCCTTATCAGTTGGACATTCCGGTCTTTATACTTCTTTTTTTTTAATTCACTAACGCTCTAAAAATGAATATTTCAGCCGCAGTAAAGAATCAACGTTGGCTTATTTTGGTTCTTGACATTCTTTACGATCGGTTACGATGCCTAGAGTACGGAGACCTGTACGATTTCGTCAACTTAGTGAGTTTGATAGGGGCCGTATAGTGGGACTTCGGGAAGCTGGACTTTCTTTTCGGGCAATTGCAGTTAGAGTGCAAAGAAGTGTAGACACTGTGGTTAGGTGTTGTCAGGCATGGCTTCGAGAAGGCCGTACGCAAAGAGCAAATGGCACTGGACGCCGCCGTAGAACAACAGACCGTGAAGATCGCCGCCTAAGATTATTGGCCTTAAGGGACCGTTTCTCCACTACCAGTTCCATTGCAAATGAATGGTTTGCAGAACACGGAAGACCTATTGGCATGCGAAGTGTTTACCGACGAATGAGAAGTTTTGGCTTGTTTTCATACCGGCCACACTGGGTCCTCCCTTTAACTCGAGAACACCGACGTAATCGCCTTGAGTGGTGCAGACAACGGTCACTCTGGTATCAGGAATGGAACAGTATTGTCTTTAGTGACGAGTCTCGATTTTGTTTAGGCATGCACGATGAAAGGAGGAATCCACAGTTTTTTGTTGAAAGACATGTTCATCACACTGTTGGAGTTATGGTTTGGGGTGCTATAGCTTATGGTTCCAGGTCACCTTTAATCTTCATCAGAGGTAACATGAACGCGCAGCGTTATATCCACGAAGTTCTGGAACCCCATCTTTTACCCTATCTTGACACCCTGGCAGATCCAACTTTCCAACAAGATAATGCCCGACCACATGTTGCAAGAGTCACAATAGACTTCTTTCAACATAATGATGTCACATTGTTACCATGGCCACCAAGATCTCCCGACTTATCTCCAATTGAGCACGTGTGGGGTATGAAGGGTAGGAGATTGCTCAATTTGCAACGTCCTCCTCAGACTCTAGAAGCACTTCAAGAGGAGTTGGTGGTTGCCTGGAATGAGATACCACAGGAGGACATTGACCACCTGATCAGAAGCATGCCTAGGCGCGTTGGAGAATGCGTAGCACATCAGGGTGCATCCACACATTATTAAAGGTCAAAGGGCTTTAAAGCAGTGCAATCATTTTGAAATTTTTATCATTTACTTATTATGCTTCATTAAGTACTTATACAAAATTTTATTAAAATAAAACCGTAAACTGGGTGTTCGGATTTATATGTCACTTAGTATAAGGAGACAATTCCTCTAATCATGGTTTGAAAATCTAATACCGTTTTGTTAATAACATTCGGCATTCAAGAATATTCAAGATTAAAGTTAAAACATGATTGGAATACCTAGGTCTATGAAAAAAATCAGTTGGTACCAATTGAAATTCATACATCATCCCTTCTGTAGCTACTGACCTTTTGAGTCTGCGTCAGCTTACTGGACTTTGAAGATCATATGATATCGAATCTAAACCCTTATTCCCCACCATATGGTGGTCTTGATATACTAGATTATATTACATCAGTTACAGAAGTCTTAGAATTATTTTTTTATTCATATCAATATACGAAGACACCGATAACTGCATTAGTTTTTGATATGAAATAATAGACAAATGACTCTTAATTACTTATTCGTGCTACTAAGTTCCAATTAACTGCGCTTGGTAGTAACCTGACGATGCGCTTGGGATCATCGAAAGATTAACGAGATCATACAGTCACCAGTCATCCTACTTTTTCTTGGCTGATTCATGCTGCTTGACCAGATATCAAGCACGATCTACGATGCAAATGGTCTCTTTTAATGACTCAAAATGAGCTATAACAAATTTGACATTGAACACCGAGTTTACGTATTCAGCCGTGGGATGGATAGAGGACATGGAACATCTGTCCAAATGCTTAGTGTTAAATAAACTTGTTTTAGCGTATATTCAAGAACAATTACGTAATCTGATTTTATTTACAAAGTGTTGTGTAAGTGGCTTGCGAATCGGTACGCTACCAAACATGATATGACTGTTGGTTTTTGATTTGTTTATTTTTCTTTTAATAACGTGATACATGTATTTCATACGCGAGCTATAATTGTCGGTTCTCAAATGAGCGTACGTTGTTAAACAATTCACTTCAGACCAAAATTCTCCAGCAGATGTATTTTGGCTTAGAAGATAATCAAAACACCTTTATTTGTTATACATTTCCCAAAGGGATTCTACATGTATTTTTGATATATCAACTTCTTTTGACGCGTTCTACAAGAAGTATCGACATTGAAAACATCCTGTATAACCAAACGCCTTGTTCTAACTCTTTAAAGCTCAGGTTTTCATTCGGCCACAACTGCCACATAGTGTCACTTATCTTCTTCTAAGAATTTAAGATGCAGGTGGTGTCAATTACGCTTATTATACATGTTGATTAAGTTTATCGTTGAAAAACGCAGCTGAGAATACAGCTGTCAAACTCAATCTGTTTACCACATGAATCTATTTACATTTTGCGTATCAGCCCATGGCACTCGTCTTT